TACTAGTTATTCCTTCCAGACCACAGAAATGCCTGGGGACCTTAAGTCACAACTTTTAAATCTTTGTCTTGCAGCCTGACCTTACAAAATGAGGGCACTGGATTAGATGATGATATTAATAACAACAGTAACTAACATTTATTGAAAACTTACTATTTCCTGAAGGTGTATCTAAGTTAATGGCAACAGGAGCAATAGAAATAGCAGCATGCAATAACAGCATGTACAGTACTATTCAAAACATTCTACAGATATCAGCTTATTAATCTATCCAACAATCCTATGAGGTAGGCATTATCAAGCCCCCTTTTTAGATAAAGGAACTGGTTCAGATAGTTTCAATTACTTTCCCAAGGACACAGGGCAGGTGGAGAGGTCTAGATTCAAAGCTGTGGAGTCTGGCTCTAGAGTCCATGTGTTTTACAATTCATCTACTCCCCACGACTTCCATCCTAATGATGAAGAACTGAAGTACAGCATGATTACATACCTTGTTCAAATCAGAAGCTAGTACATGGTGGTGTTAAGAATTTGAATATAGGCATCCTGCTCCAAAGCCTACACTCTTAAGCATTATGCTTTACCACCTCTCCTGAAATGGTCTAACTTCAGAATCCTTTCCAGCTCAGAATGTCTATGATTCTCTTCCCATCTCTGAATTATATCAAGTAAGGCTCATACTTGATCAACATGTACTGGTGTCCTAGAAAATGTTTCAGATGCAAAACATATGTTCTTAAGTTTGATAAGGTAAATCATCAATTTCAAAAGTTCAAATTTTTAAAGATAATCTATTTTCTGTAAAATTAGTAAAGGATAGCCAGTCAAAACTTCTGCAGTGTTTTAGGGGTCACTCATACATTTCTTTAGGTAAAATCTCTGTGATATAATGAGGTTTACAGCACATTTTATAAAGTTGGAAACACCATATCATAGAAATCCTAGCTATGGCTGGCTAATTGTAAATGCATGGTATTAAACCAATGAAAGTTAGTATATTAGTGCAGTATGCTCAACAGTGCGATAATTGGAATAAGCTAAGAGTTATTCTCTTTTGGTAGAGAAAGGAAAATGAAGATTTCAGGAACAAGTTTATGTGCTGGTTTGTTTACTTTTTAGTCTCCTGGTGAAGTTACCTGTGAGCCTGTTTCCCAGAATACTAACAGCCTTCCTCTGATTCGCCAGAAAAAGGATTTGCATCAAAAATATAATTGTGTCCACGTATGTAGTGCTTCCAGCTGTGGGAAGCTAAGAAGCTCCTATGTTCTGCCAAAATAGACAAGGTAGAGGCATGCTCATTTCTAAGAGACCAGTAAATTACATCCAGCTACTGCATGGCCTCACATGGTTGATGATGACAAATACCTACCCTTGTAGAGTGCAGATAAATTAGCACACTGATTGCTCTCAGCATTAGCTTTCTCTGACGTGCAGCATTCTAACCTGAAGAGCTTTCTGGTTGATCTTGTGCATTTCACCTTCATTCATGCCCTCAGGATAAAGCCACCTGGAAAGCTTCCCACCTCACAGTCCAGGGCCCCTTTCCACAACTTACCTCTCCATCCTTCTTGGTTGTGTTTGAAAGTTAAGAGGTCTACACATGCCCCCATCATTTTAAGCAGTTTAACACCAAAACAAAGACATTTCAGGGAGAACTGACTCGAAAAGAGTGAGATCACTGATAAGCATGGGCAGTGAATCCAGGGAGAGCAAGGCCACCAATATGTGTGAACTTATTAATCATAATTACTACTTTTTCTAAGAAAAGTATTTCCTTAGTCAAGCCTCAAGGGCATCAGATCAAGGGGAGATACTGCCACAGCTGGACTACACTTTCCAGCCAGTTGGCCTGAAAAGGAGAATCTAGACAGTGTCCTGGCAACTGTTGAACACACCTGCAATCCATGAAAAGGGAGGAAAAAGAATTTTTAGAATGACTTCTAAAAAAAGTCTCCTTGTACTTTGCTCCTCCCTATTTTTAGGGATAGTTTGAGGGTAATGTCAAAGCCCTAGAGGATGTGTCCTAGGTGCTGACTGTGGAACTCATTCTTCTATAGATAGAAACAAAAGGAGGTTTTAGTTCATGGTATAGTTTGTTTTTTTTTTAAACACCATGCATTTATAGTTAATCATCATTAAAACTATACCTCAAACTTGGGCCAATGGCAAGAGTACTGGATCAATTTTCTATTGCCAGTTTCATATAAGTTACTATAGACCTTGCCAGGACACTGTAAAATCACCCTAGAAAGGGTAATTTATTAATAAAATCACAACTGGAGAAATTTAGTTACATGTCCTAGAAGTTCTCCCAAAAATGTATAAAAAGAAATTACAGAAGTGACTATTAACACACAGAGAGAAAAAAAAGCCACAAAATCCAAACCCCACTATGTCAGAAGCACAGCAATACACACAAGAATCACGTGAAAATGAAAAAACAGAAAGCACACCAGGGATTTCATGAATTACAGAGAAATGAGATGTGAGAGTTACCGTGTAGAAAGAAAAATGAAAACAAACAAAAATCATTTCTATAATTAAGGAAAGCTGTTTCTCACCGTTCTGAACAAAATGGCTGAACTAAGAGCCTCTGATTGGCTATGCCCATATACCCTCCTCCTCATCCTATAGGGAGAGAGATGACAAGGGGGCAATGCCCCAGAGCAGCATGGAATGAAAAAGAGGTGGTTAGTATTTAAAACAAAGACATAAGCATAATGTAGCAGAAGAGAATTTCTTGACTCTCTTATACAGATTATAATTCCCTAAACTATCAAAATTAGTAGTTACTGTTGGTCCTCTGTATCTGCGGGTTCCACATCTGTGGATTCAACCAACCATGGATAAAAAATATGTATGTATATATGTATAAATAAAAAACAATAAAAAATAACAATGCAATGATAAAAATAAACTAATTTAAAAAAATACAGTATTAACAGGCCAGACGCCATAGCTCAAGCCTGTAATCTCAGCACTTTGGGAGGCTGAGGCAGGCGGAGGCCAAGGTCAGAAGTTTGAGACCAGCCTGGCCAACATGGTGAAACCCCATTTCTACGAAAAATACAAATATTAGCTGGGTGTGGTGGTATGTGCCTGTAGTCCCAGCTACTTGGGAGGCTGAGGCAGGAGAATCACTTGAACCCGGGAGGCAGAGGTTACAGTGAGCTGAGATCGCGCCACTGCATCCCAGCCTGGGCGACAGAGCGAGACTCTGTCTCAAAAAAAAAAAAAAAAAAGTCTAGCAACTAATTACATAGTATTTACACTGTATTATAAGTAATCTAGAGATGATTTAAAGTATATGGGAGGGGCCACTGTAATCCCAGCACTTTGGGAGGCCAAGGCAGGCAGATCACCTGAGGTCAGGAGTTCCAGATCAGCCTGGCTAACATGGTGAAACCCCATCTTTACTAAAATACAAAAATTAGCCAGGCGTGGTGGCAGGCGCCTGTAATCCCAGCTACTCAGGAGGCTGAGGCAAAAGAATCACTTGAACCCAGAGGTGGAGGTTGCAGTGAGCTGAGATCACACCACTGCACTCCAGCCTGGGCAACAGAGCAAGAGTCTATCTCAAAAACAAAACAAAACAAAGCAAAATCAACTATATGGGAGGATGTATATAGCTCATTTGCAAATACTATGCCATTTTATATAAGGGGCTTGAGCAACCATAGATTTTGGTATTTGTGAGTGGGTTTGTCCTGAAACCAATCCCCCAAGGATACTGAGGAACAACTGTAGTTTGTCGTTATACTTCTATTCTTCTGACTTTCCAAGATGCCATTTCTATCTCAGGGCTAGATCTGGGCAAAATTATCAAGTTGAAGGTTTTTCTTTATGTTTAGCTTTTCCTTCAACCTTTCTGTTTGCTTCTTCCTACTCCAGGCATCTAGTTCTCTCTATTATCAAAAAACTGTTTTCATGAGGAATCTAACGTGCATCTTATATACATTGGCATAAATTCAATTCCAAATATCAGGAAACAGGCAGAAAAAGTAAAGTGATCTCTTAGCAGGGAAGGACTGCTGACGCCAGGCAGACAGCTCTCCATTTTGCCCACATTAAACATTGATACTGTTTTCCTTCTAAAATACAAAACTTGCCTCAACTGGCTTAGTAAATGTCATCATAATAGGACTATACCTTCTGAATCTTAGAAACAACAGCAATTTGAACACTATTGCTGCTTTCATTGCACTATTTCCGCTGCTTCTGCTAAGACAATGCCATAGCTGTTATTTAGTGGAGATGTTTAGCAGGAGTTTTCCTCAACGCTTTAGTCATATGGAGGTAATTACTTGACTGCTTTTTTCCCTTAGCTATATATTTTAAGGCTGGGTGTGATGGAGATGTTAAAATTTGATTTTTGGCAATGGGATATGAGGTAATCTGTTCACCACTCTCTCCCATCCATCATTTTCAAGATTTTGGGAGAGTTCCCTTCTTCCAAGAAACTAGAATTGAATATAGTTCCCTTCAGATTCATCAATGTTTCTTTTGCATTGATGAGAAGTTGAAGGCAACAATTTTCCTTGAGCATGACATGCTGGAGGGAGCCACAAGGACAGGGAGTGAAGAACTAAGTTTCAATCTTCACTTTTAATAGGTAATGAACACAGAGTTCATACTTTACAATTAAACACCTCTAAATTAAGCTGTGCCTCAACTAAGCTTTCAAGGAAAGAGTCTTGTTTTTCTAATAAGGCATTATTTCCTTAAAAAGGAAATCAAGACAGTTAAAAATTAGTATGTATCTCTGAGGTTAATTTTTTTTCTCAACCCAATTCAAGGATTCTTTATTATTCAAGTCTTACAAGTATCTGCTCTTAAAATATTCAGAATCAACTGAATTTTTTTTAAGAATAGTTTTCAGAACTGAATTAGCTATTTTTCTTCTTCTAACTTATATCTCAGAATTTGCAACATGCTAGTACAAAACACGTCAAAATTTAAGTTTATGGGGTTTACAATAAAACATTCCAGAGCCATCTTACCTGGTCTGGGGAGGGCTTGTGATTTGTTTGATTGGAATGGGAGGATTTGAAGTGATCATCCTCATAGTTGTCGGCCATTAGCTTCATTCGATTTTGTGTCTAGGAAGAAATGATTCATAAGGTTAAATTTAAGTTTCTATGACACACTGTAATGAGTATTTTAAGGATTTCATAAGAAAGGATAAAACTAATCCTGTCTGCAGTAAAATAAACTACATATAGGATTTCTGAGGATACTGGAAAGAGTTTAGGCACTACTGTGGGGTGAACTGTGCCCCCCAATATTCATATGTAGAAGCCCTAAACCCCAATGTCACCATACCCAGAGACAGGGTCTTCAGGAGTTAACTAAGGTTAAATGAGGTCATAAGGGTGGGGTCTTAATCTGATAGGACTGGACTTCGGAAGAAGAGGAAGAGAAAAACAGAGGAATTTCTCTTTATTTCTCCGCCATGAGGATCCAGTAATTAGGCAGCCTCTGCAAGCCAGGAAGAGCCTCTGCTAGGAACTGAATCAAACAGTACCTTGATCTTGGACTTTCCAGCCTCCAAACTATGAGAAAATAAATTCCTGTTTGATTAAGCTACCCAGTTTATGGTATTTTATTATGGCAGCTTGAGCTAAGACTGGCACTTAAAGTGATACAGAATTTTTGGGGAAGAGGCCGGGCGCAGGGTCTCATGCCTGTAATCCCAGCTACTTGGGAGGCTGAGGCAGAAGAATTGCTTGAACCCAGGGGGCAGGGGTTGCAGTGAGCCAAGATCACGCCATTGCACTCCAGCCTGGGCAACAGTTCGAGACTCTGTCTCAAAAAAAAAAAAAAGGAATATTTGGGGGAAGAGGCAATATCTCAAAATCAAGATTTTTCTTTTCAAAAGGTCTTCATGATTTTTCTTTCCAAAGAGACAAGGTCTCATTATGTTGCTCAGGCTTTTCTCAAGCTCCTAGCCTCAAGTGATCCTCTGGCCTCAGCTTCCCAAGCAGCTGGGACTATGGGGACACGCCACCACGCTCGACTGATTTTAAAATTTTCTTTTGTAGAGACAGGGTCTCACTAAAAAAAAATCAATTGAAAAACTATTATAATTTACTACAGAGTTCAGTGAGGTGATCAGACAGAAGCTGCACACACACACACACACACACACACACACACACATAATCCAAGAGCTTTTCTATATATCATCAATAAACAATTTGGGTTTTAAAAACAAGTAAAAAGTTCTGAAATCCTTCTCCTGAACCCTAAGCCAGAAGAGGGCTATAATTCCATTGTCTTTTCTCCATCTTTACCAAAAAGGAAGACTGGATTGGTGATTCTGTGTGAGTGGTTAATTTAGGCCTTGAACAAATGAACAATATATTGAACACTGTAGAGAATTAACTCTGCAGAGTAAGCAACTTAGAAAACGAAGGGTACATGATGCTGGAGTGCAGTGACACAGTCACAGTTCACTGCAAACTCAAACTCCTAGGCTCAAGTGATCCTCCCAACTCAGCCTCCTGAGTAGCTGGGACTACAGGTATGCACCACCACATCCAGTTAATTAAAAAACGTTCTTTTGTAGAGACAGGGTCTCTATGTTGTTTAGGCTGGTCTTGAACTCCTGGCACTACAGGTGATTTAAAAAATAAAGTACAAACAAATAAGAGGAAAGAAAGAAAAACCATCTATAATTCCTCTATCAGTGATTATCACTCTTAGTATCTAGGTGTATCCAGTCTTCTTCCTGGGAACATAAAAAGTGCCATGCTCTTCTGATTTAGTCTATTTCTTCTCTATTTCAGCCGCACTGTGATATTTAAAAAATTACTATATTTTATAGCATATTTTCAAACCTGGTGGGATATGTCCACCAATTCTGCTTTGTCAAAGTTTGATTGGTTATTTTTAACATGTTTTCTTTTCTGGATATATGAAAAACAATTTGTCTAGTTCCATTAAAAAATTTACAGAGATATATAATGATGTCTGAGCAAGGGCTTTAAAAGAGCCAAATTGCCTGAGTTTAAATTCTATCTCTGCCTCTCACCAGCTGACTTGAGGCAAGCTACTTAAATGCTGTGAGCCTCAGTTTCCCCACCTTTAAAATGGGGATGACAATGGTATCTCTTACATAAGACTGCTGTGAAGATTAACCTGTTGAATTAATACAAGGAAAGCACTTAGGAAGGTGCTTGGCATAATGACACCCAATACATGTTAGCTATCATCATCATCGTGACCATTTTTTCATGTCATTAAAAATAGTATTCTAAAATCCTATTTTTTAAAAATTACATATATATGTGTATATATGTATATATATTTATTTATTTATTTATTCATTTTTTTTGTTTGTTTTAGAAAGTGTATTTTCTTCTAGAGACTGTAGAAATGGGGGTCTCACTATGTTGCCTAGGCTGGTCTTGAACTATTGACCTCAAGTGATCCTTCTGCCTTGGCCTCTCAAAGCGTTGGGATTATAGGCATGGACAACTGTGACCAGCCTAAAATCTACTTTTAGCTGGCAGCACAGCACTTAGCTGAATGGATATCCATTTTTTTTTTTTGGAGATGGAGTCTAGCTTTGTCATCCAGGACTGTGGTGGTACGATCTCAACTCACTGCTACCTCTACCTCTTGGGTTCAAGCGATTCTTCTGCCTCAGCCTCCTGAGTAGCTGGGATTACAGGTGCCTGCCACCACGCTCAGCTAGTTTTTGTATTTTTAATAGAGACAGGGTTTCACTATGTTGGCCAAGCTGGTTTCAAACTCCTGACCTCAGGTAATCCGTCCGCTCTGGCCTCCCAAAGTGCTGGGATTACAGGTGTGAGCAATTGCGCCCAGCCCTCTGAATGAATACTTAATGAGTACCATATTGTTGGAGATTTAGGTTCTTTACATTTTCACCTAATGATGGAAACACATTTTAAAGTCAATTTCTCTCTCTAGTATATAATAATAGGAAAAAAACACCTATTAATCAACTATCTGTGAATCAAATTTTCTTTTCTGGGATGACCCCAAGTGATCTTTGCTATGTCTGAATGTTTCTGTTCCCCTCGAATTCTTTTCTTTTTTTTTGAGGTGGAGTCCTATTCTCTTGCCCACTCTGGAATACAGTGGCACCATCTCTCATCACTGCAACCTCTGCCTCCCCGGCTAAGCAATTCTCCTGATTCAGCCTCCCAAATAGCTAGGATTAGAGGTGCATATCACCATGCTGGCTAATTTTTTGTATTTTTAGTAGAGACAGGGTTTTGCTACATTTGCCAGGCTGGTCTCGAACTCCTGACCTCAAGTGATTTGCTCACCTCAGCCTCCCAAAGTACTGGGATAACAGGCATGAGCCACTGTGCCTGGCTCTCCCTAAATTTATATGTTGAAACTTAACTCTCGATTTGGTGGTATCATGAAATGGGGCCTCTGGAAGATGATTAGGTCAGAGGGTGGAACCTCATGAATGACATTAGTACTCCTATAAAAAAGGCCTGAGGTATCATGCAATATACCCAGGTAATAAACCTGCGTATGTATCTCCTGAATCAAAAATAAAAGTTGAAAATAAAAAGAAAATAATGAGGAAGAAGGTTCTACTGCTGAAGTTTGTACTTTGATTTGGGAGATATAAATATCTAGTTGTATCACTGGTAGGAGACTGAAATCCTAGAGGATAGTGTCTTACTCAAAAGAGAAAATATGAAAACAATTTGTTTTTTTCCTTCTGTTTTTGCTTTCCCAGCACACTTTGCTTGTGAGACCAACTATAGATTTTTCACAAAGAACTGTTATCTTCATTATCGAATTAATGGCAAATACACTTTTTTTTTGTTGTAAACAGTAGTTGCTCAAAGGATAATTGCAAATGAATGAATAAATAAATGAATGAGTAAATAAATGTTTCCATTATACTTGGAAAACAAAATGGCCCGAAGGAGCCTGTTTGCCCTTCTGCAGTGTTAAGACGGAACAAAACAGCATTACCTATGAAGCCAAGAGCAAGCCCTCAGCAGACACCGAATCTGCTGCTGCCTTGATCTTGTACTTCTAGCCTCCAAAATGGTGAGCGATAAACTTCTATTGTTTTTAAATTACTCAGTCTAAGCTATTTTATTATAGCAGTCTGAATGGACTAAGACAATCATGAAAAGATGTAGGCTAATTTTTCTTATGGCATGTGGTATTTCATGATAAAGTCTTCTGCAGAGCAGCTCTCAGGAAAAAAGGAAAATAGAGGAAAAGAAAGAGGCATATGCAGAAAGTGAGCAAAACATCTGTATCATGTCATTCATTCAGTTAGGAAACCTTTCCATGTTGACTTTAATAGCAATGTGGGTGAAAGTATAGTTAGCCAACTATTTATTTTCTTAGAACATGAGACAATCTTTACTATCTGCATTTAGCATAAGTTTAAAAACTTAAAAAGAAATCCTAATAAAGTACACACAAATCCATTTTCAAGGCACAGTGCATTTAAAGTACTTCTTAGGAATGAGTATGTATGCTTGCCTGAAGAAACTGATCTAAGTGGATTTATCTGTCCAAAGATTACTAATATTAGTAGATTATAAGATTATAAGACCAAAGATTACTTATTTGATCCACGTCAGAGAATGAAAAAAAGAACTGTAAGAACTTACTTCTCCATTTCCAAAAGACATGAAGATGATCAAAGTTTAGTGTTCCTAGGTCTAGTACAAGGAAACTTGGTGTGAAGTCTGTTCCTGCGTAGTTATGTTGAGCACTAAGTATCTGACAGCTCACAGAGTGTTAGATGTTACACAGATCGTATAAATGACTCTGTGCTCTTAAGGGGCTCTCATAGTATGCTCTTCTCAAGATAAGACCAAAAAGCAAAAGGAGTAATTCCTTCATGTTTTACTGACATGAAAGATATTTATATCCAAAAGTTTTTCCTCTTGACCATGCCAGGTGCATGTGCCGATAGATGAAATCCTCTGGTCCCAATGACATAAAGAGGGAGGGAGGGAAGAAGGAAGGAAGGGAGGGAGGGAGGGAGGGAAGGAGGAAGGAAGGCAGGGAGGGAGGGAGGGAGGAAGAAACTTGCTGAAATAGACTTCTTTAGCTATCGATGCATATCTGTGTATCCAGGTAT